CCGGGCCCCCAACCGGCCTTCCGCACACCTTCCGCAGGCTCCGCCCACTGCCCCTGCCATTCCCCCCCGCCCCCCCCTCCGCCCAGCCCAGCGGCTCTCCATCCAGGGAGCCCCAGCGGCGACACCGGGAAACCAGTATCAGGGCCTGGCCATTAAGAGATGGTTACAAACAGGTGTGTCCCTTCGTGGGTAGCGGCCAGTTCTCCCCGATCAAGGAAAAGGGATGGCTAGGCTGAGATTGGTCTCACCTGACCCTAAGGGAGTACTCTGCCGAGACCAAGCCTGCCTGCTTCCACCTGCTCTGGTCCATCTCAGAGCTCAAGGTCCAAAAAAAAAAAAAAAAAAGTGCTTACTTTTGGGAATTGAAGGCTAGGAGATCAAACCTAGATCAGAGCTCTCTGGGCCAGGTGTATTAATAAAAATCCCACCTAGTTTGGGTGTTTTGGATGGGGAGTTTGGGATTTATGTTTTCAATTCTTTACCTGAATAATGGGAACACTGAATTGTTAAAAAACCAAACATAGCAACATATCTGGGCTAGCTGAAAGTAACAATTAACTACTAGAGTATTAGTTATCTTATATAATAAAAGCCTAATATGCTAAGTGTCTGGTTGTCCAGTAGGCCATTCAACCAACCAAAGGGTAATATGCTAATGATATGCTAAGGGCACTCAACTGCTTGCTATGATGTGCACTGACCACCAGGGGGAAGATGCTCCAACAGGTACATAAGCTTGCTACTGGGGTCCAGCTGATCTGGACTGAGCGAGATGGGCCAGACATGCCCTGGAGTCCTCCCGAGTCCCTCCCTGGCTGGCCAACCTCCTGCGTCCCTCCCCACCCCGATCCTACACCGGTGGGGTCCCTTGGTCTGACCTGTGTCCTCTCGCAACTCAGAACCCCTCAGGGAATGTTGGAGAGCACCCCACTGGTGCACAAATTTGTGCACCAAGCTTCTAGTCTATAATAATAAAAGTATAATATTCTAATTAGACCGGAGGTCCTCTGGACAAAGCCAGGGCTGCAAAGGAAGCCTGGGTCCGGGTGCCAGAGGGAAGCCAGTGCCTGCAGCCAGGAGAAGGAAGGCCTACTCTTGCATGAGTTTTGTACATTGGGCCTCTAGTCCTATATAATAAAGAGGTAATATGCAAATTGAACCTCACACCCTCACAAGATGGCTGCCTATGATCAGGCCAGCAGGGGGGTGAAGGACAACCAAACAACTGAATAGCAGACTGCATGGGAGGACCAGCTGGCAGAGGGGGCAGTTGGGGGTGACTTGGCTGGCAGGGCAGGCAAATTAGGAGCAATCAGGCAGGCAGACAGGTGAGTGATTAGGAGCCAGCAGTCCAGGATTGTGAGAGGGATGTCCGACTGCTGGTTTAGGCCCGATCCCCCAAGGGTTCCCAGATTGGAGAGGGTGCAGGTTGGGCTGAAAGAACTCCCCTCTCCCCATGTACGAATTTCATGCACTGGGTCTCTAGTATTTGAATAATAGTAACCAACAGTTTCTTTCTTTTTCTTTAAATATATTTTTTATTGATATTTTACAGAGGAAGGAAGAGGGATAGTTAGAAACATAAATGAGAGAGAAACATAGATCAAGTCTGCAACTAAGATACATGCCCTTGACTGGAATCGAACCCGGGACTCTTTTTAAAAAAAAATATTTTATTGATTTTAAAAAAATGTATTTTATTGATTTTATACAGAGAGGAAGACAGAGGGACAGAGAGTGAGAAACATCAATGAGAGAGAATCATCAATCAGCTGCCTCCTGCACATCCCCCACTGGGGATGTGCCCACAACCAAGGTACATGCCCTTGACCGGAATCGAACCCGGGACCTTTCAGTCTGCAGGCCGACGCTCTATCCACTGAGCCAAACCAGTTTTGGCTTATTGATTTTTTTACAGAGAGGAAGAGAGAAGGTTAGTTAGAAACATTGATGAGAGAGAATCATTGATCAGCTGCCTTTTGTACACCCCCTACTGGGGATGTGCCCGCAACCAAGGTACATGCCCTTGACCAGAATTGAACCTGGGACCTTTCAGTCCGCAAGCCTACACTCTATCCACTGAGCCAAACTGGTTTCAGCGAACCTAGGACTCTTTAGCCCTCGGGCTGAGGCGCCATCCACTGAGCCAAACTATTGTTAGGGCAAAACCCAACGAAGTTTCTTAGAACTTTTAACCCTCTAACAATTCCATAAAGTACAGTAGCCCTTCCTACCCTCTTCTTCCCCCCTGCAATCCTTGGTTTTGCTTTCGCAAGTTTCAGTTAACCATGGTACAAAAAGATTGAATTGCATGTCATTCTGAGTTACTGATGAAATCTCCACCGTCCTGCTCCATCCTGTCTGGGCTATGAATCACTTCGTCCAGCACATCCACAGATGAATGATACCCACGCGTTAGTCATTTAGTAGCCGTCTCTGCTATCCGATCAACTGGTCCTTATTGTATCATCACAGTGCTTGAGTTGGAGTTACCCTTATTTTACTCAATAATGGCTTCAAGTGCCAGAGTAGTGATGCTGGCAATTCGAATATGCCAAAGAGAAGCTGTAGAGTGCTTCCTTGGTTGGCAAACTGCGGCTCTTTGACCCCTTGAGTGTGGCTCTTCCACAAAATACCACGGCCTGGACGAGTCTATTTTGAAGAAGTGGCATTAGAAGAAGTTTAAGTTTAAAAAATTTGGCTCTCAAAAGAAATTTCAATCATTGTACTGTTTATATTTGGCTCTGTTGACTAATGAGTTTGCCGACCACTGCTTTAAGTGACAGTTAAGTACTATGTAGAGGGGTCTTGAAACATGTCCCCGGAGATTAAGGGGGACTACTATAGGGACTATTTTAAATGCAAAGAATCAGGATCAGATAAATAACTTTCCCAAAGTCACATAGCTTGGAAGTGGCAGAGGTCTGGGACTCCAGATTCTAAATTCTTACTGTGTCACCACAGCTTGTATAATTCTGGACTTTCGTCTTACCAAAATAATTCTTTAATTGATTTTTAGAGAGAGGGGTGTTAATGTAAACACCTGAAAAACATTCCTGATGCCAAGTTACATGCTGCTTTCCAAATTATTTCAGAGGTCTCCATGGCAACATCATAACTCCAAGCCTCTGTAGTAGTGTCAGGCAGTATATTTATTTTGGGGATAAATTGTATTCCTGTCTCCCCCTGCTGGTTTAACAAAGAAATGTCTTTGAAGCCTTAGCAAAATAAAGCAGCTATTACTGATAGGCACTGTTGTTGAAAGTAGGGTCCCAGACCAGTAGCGTCAACATTTGCATACTTGTCAGAAATACAAGTTACTGGGCCCTACCCCAAGCTTATTTACTTATTTAATTCTGGGGATGGGGAACCAGCAACCTAAATTTTAAGAAGTTCTCCAGGGTGGGGAGCTGTAGGGAGCAGTAGAGATGTGGTCAGGGATTCAGTCACTGTTACTGCCACACTTGCTCAGATCCTTGGAATTATTTTGGTACCTTTCTCTTGCCCATCACCACATCCAATTTATCCCATTTCCTATGTTTTCTGAAGTTAGTATTCGCACAGACTACCTCAGTATCTCCTGGACTATTGCAAAAATCACTTTTTGAGCACTTACAGGGAGTCACCAGATTGACCATTCTAAATTAATCCTGCATGTCACTTCCAGTGGCTTTCCACGGTTTAGTAAGAGGTAAATTACTAATTCCTCATTAATATGCATCAGGGGAGTGATTAGTAAATTGTTATGTTACTATTATTCTTTAAAATTAAATTTATTCTATATATCTAAAATATCTTATAACTCATTAAAAAAAAAACACCAAAGTTCAAATAGCAGGTCTTCTTTTAATTTTACTTCAGATAGAGGAAGGAAGAGGGAGATGTTGATTTATTGTTACACTTATTTATGCATTTATTGGTTGCTTCTTTTATGTGCTCTGACCAGAGATTGAACCTGCAACCTGGGCATATTGAGATGACGATCTAACTAGTTGAGCTAACTGTCCAGGGCCCTGGTCTGCTTTGATTTTCAAAATGGGCATTTATTTCAAAACAAGTTATTAAAGATAGCATTCTTAAAATATATATATATATATATATATATATATATATATATATATATATATATATATATCAGAGAGGAAGAGAGGAGGAGAGAGAGGTAGAAACATTAATGATGAGAATCATTGATCAGCTGCTTCCTGCATGCCCCCTACTGGGGATCAAGCCTGCAACCCGGGAATGTGCCCTTGACCAGAATCGAACCCAGGACGCTTCAGTCCGCAGGTCGATGTTCTATCCACTGAGCCAAACCGGCTAGGGCAAAGAGACCTCCTGGGCAGTGAGATCCCAAACCCTTACCAAGCCCTACAAGACCCTCCTGGACTGACCCTTGCCTATACCTCCCCATCCCCAACTGCATTCCCTGGGCGTCAGCCTCTTGGACCTTTATTCCTCCAATAACGCCCCCACACCCTGTTTCAGCCTTAGGGGCTTTGCTTTTCCTGTTCTTTCCGGCAAGTTCCTCCTCCAGAGATCCCACCCAACGGTCTGCTCCGCACCCGAGTCCTGACCGCCCTGCTGAATGTCATCCCTGCGAGTCATATATCACTGCTAAGAGCCCCCTGAAGTTATTTCCATTTTGTTTCTGTCACCAGGAAGGACGCTTCCTGAAGGCAGGGACCTTGACAACATTGTTCCCCTCAGCACCCTCCGCTCCTGAATGAATGAATGGATGAATGAATGAATGAGTACCTGCGGACTGTCTCCTTGGGGCGTGCTTTGCCTTAAAAACAGAAACCAATTCATCGAGACAAAAAGCCCGTTAATAGCGGCTTTAAGCTGCCCGCGGAGCGGCCGGCCCCCTGGGAGGCTCTGGAGTGGACAATCCTAGGAGCGCAGCCCCGCGGGAGCGCCAGGAACGGACCCAACGAGACCGCCGCGCCGGCTCGGCGTGCGGAACTGAGGCTGCGCGGAGCGTGAGGGGGCGTGGCCACCCGCCTCCCGGAAGTGGGCCGGAGGCCGCCAGAGGACGCGGGCGGGCGGGAGGCTGGGGAGGGCGGCCGCGGCGCTGGGCCCCGCGGGGTGCGTGTCCTCCCGCCATGGAGGACGAGCTGACCTTCTCGGACATCTACGGCGGCCGCCTGGCGCTGCTGCGCCGCTACTACTCCCCGTCCTGCCGCGAGTTCTGCCTCAGCTGCCCGCGGCTCTCGCTGCGCTCGCTCACCGCCGTCACCTGCTCCGTGTGGCTGGCGGCCTACGGCCTCTTCACCCTCTTCGAGGTAAGGCCGGGCCGCCCCTCGCTGCCGCCGGGATGTTGGGAGGGTCTGAGGGGTCGTGGGGTCGAGCCGGGACCTCGGCGTCAGACCCTCCCGCAGTCGTCGGGCCGGCGGGCGGGAACTGGCTGGCCCTGGGGACGCCGTCCCGCTGCTGGACAGCTCTTTCCATCCCGGTTAGTGGAGTTGGTGCCCTGAACTTCCTCCCTCCCTTGGATCGCTGCTGTGCTCTCGTTCCACCCGGTGCACAGCGGGTCCTTGCACGACAGCCTAAAACTTCAACTCCCATGCGCCGTGGAGAGCTGTTGGGTTAATCGTCCTCGCCCATCACTTCCCCTCCTCGGGAATCACTGCTCCCCGCACCTTATCTGTAGCTGCGCAGAGACTGTTGCTGGCTCCACGGTGTCTGTGTGTGTGTGTATGTGTGTTACACACACATACAGACGTTATTTAAAAAATATATATTTTTTATTGATTTTACACAGAGAGGAATTGAGAGGGATAGTCAGAAACGTCCATGAGAGAGAAACATTGACCAGCTGCCTCTTGCACATCCTCCACTGGGGATGCGCCCGCAACCAAGGTACATGCCCTCGACCGGAATCGAACCCAGGGACCCTTCGGGCCGCAGGCTGATGCTCTATACACTGAGCCAAACCGGTTTTGGCCAGACGTTAGTTAAGAGCTTCACATGGACAGTTCTTCCTAATCTCTGCTTTTTCAAGGCAGTCTATATCCCCCTCCTCCCAACTGCTTCCCCAACTTCAAGTACTTTCTAAAGAATCAGGACATTTCAGAGATGGGATAAAGAATTATGAATTTCCAGACCATTCCTGTTGTCCCAGATGTTTTCACATCTCTAAAAATGGAATTAATGTCTGCCATGCCAGCTCCACAGTATTGTGAGGGTCATGGACAGTGGTTTTGTGACTGCCCTCAAATAGAAGGAATCACCCTCATTGTCTTTTTCAGTTTCAGATGTAGTGCCCTGAATTGAATGTTATTTCAGGAGTGATCTGGTGAAGAGTAAGCACAGCAGTACTATCCTTTAATTTGGATGTTGCTCCCATTACTGCGTCCTTTAGTGCATCCATTAGCTTTTTTGCCACTCAAGCATAGATATGTGTATAATAGGACTGTCTAATTTGAATCAAGTTATATCTAAAAGTTTCTTCGTAAGTCAGTTAAGTTGCCAGGACAGTCCTGCTTCTCCCTCCCCTCCTCCCCCCCAAAAAGATTTAATTCCGTATAAAAAAGAGGTAATATACAAATTGATATTGCAAAAGATGGCTGCCTATAACCAGGCTGGCAGGGGGGTTAGTGAGGGATGACCAAATGACTGAACACGAGGCGGCATGGGGTGGCCAGGCCTTTGGGGGCCGTGAGGGGCAAGCAGGCCAGCAGGAGGGGGCAGTTAGGGGAGACCAGGTCAGCAGGAGGGCAGTTGGGGGCAATTAGGCTGGCAGGGGGGGGCAGTGAGGGGTGACTAGGCCAGCAGGGGGCCAGTTGGAGGTGACCAGGCCAGCAGCAGGGGGCAGTGAGGGGTGACCAGGCATGTGAGCAATTAGGAGCCAGTGGTCCAGGATTATCGGGCCTAAACCGCCAGTCCGACATCCACCAAAGGGTCCTGGATTGGAAAGGGGGCAGGCTAGGCTGAGGCTGACTCCCCCGACCCTGTGCACGAATTTTGTGCACTGGTCATGTGAGGAGGGAACAGATACTTATTAAATGACCAGTAGAACATCAAATCGAAGATTTTCTTTCTCTCTTTTCCTTCCTCCCTCCCTCCCTCTGTATCTCTCTAAAAATAAATTTAAAAAGTTTAAAGGAGGGTATTTTCAAAGAAAATCAGAACTGGTTAATAGTTAAAGTGGTAAAAACATATCTTATTCAGAAACCATTGTGATGGGAGAAAAAAGACCTCAGTATAGAATTGGACTCAGTTCTGAATACAGCATAGACAAGTGGGAAGATATAGTTGAGGAGCAGGGTGGGAGTCAGTGGGTGAGAAATTGCTAAAAGGAAACATCAGGAGCTAAACGGACTCGACAGGATTCTTGTTGAAGACCAGCCAGGTGGGAGTTCTCTCTAAACTGACTTTGCAAGATTCTTGCTACAACTGGGCAATGCAGGCCCAACAATGATGGACAGCAGGGTCAGGGGCTTAGAAGAGCTTGACTAGAGTTAAGTCAAGGAGTGCACCTTGTCAGTGACAAAGAATAATAAGACTCTCCCTGCCCTCAAGGACTGACAGTCACACATTACTGAATTTCTTTTGATTCCAGGTCAGTGATTTTTTTCTGGTGCCATCCTTCTATATAATAGCTTTATCGAAAAAAGAAAACAGTGCCTCATGAAAGAAACACACATTAATAGAAAAACACATTTCAACATCAGAAATGATGAAAAGTTTGTAAATGTGTCTTAGAATCAAAGAAATAAATGCTATCTTGAGCTCTTAACACATCAGGTAGTCATATCAGCTCATCAGTCAGCCTTATATCATTTAGTCACAATCCAAAACAACTAAAACCTAAATGAGAATATCTGTTATTTAACAAAACAAGACGTCAGGAGGTAGGAGGGCTCTAGAGGTCATAAAAAGCTCAGTAGATTGGTTGTTTTTTTTTTCCATCTTGGTGTATTCTACTTGTCTTCAGCCTAGCTTTCCACATGGTCTGACAGAGTCCATAGTAGTTGCAGATATCAAAACGTCAGGATTGCCTGGCCAGTGTGGCTCAGTGGTTGAGTACTGACCTATGAACAGGAGGTCACAGTTGGATTCCCAATCAGGGCCCATGCGTGCTTTTAGGCTTGATTCCCAGTAGAGGTTGTGCATAAGGCAGCCAGTCGATGATTCTCTCTCATCATTGACGTTTAAAGCTCTCTCTCCATTTTCCTTTCTCTTTCTGAAATAAATAAATACATATTAAAAACAAACAAACAAACAAATACCCCTCAGGATGTAGGGACCTAATCTTCCTTAGATCTTTTTTTAAGATGGACTTGGTTTTCCAGAAACCCCTCCAGGAGATCTTCCCTCACATCTTCTTGGTCAGAGTTGTGTCACGTGTCCATTTCTAGCCGGAAGTGGGAACCAATCATGATTCATTCCAAGTTCTATTAGGAAGGAGGAGTGGTTGGGTTGTATCTATTACACTGTGCTAAGCATTTTGTTATTGTTCAGTCTGTGATTTTGCACTACATATTATTCTGAGGGAGAGTGCGAGGAAAAGGTCTGAGTCCTTAAATTGCAATTTTGGAAGAAAAATCTCTGATGGTGGGTATTTGCTGATAGAGGTTCTCTTCCACAGATGAACCCGTTTGTTGTCTGGATGTATTTCATCATATGCTTTCATAGCTCTGCAGAGCACAAGTGAAAGTGATTTCCTCTTCCTCCATGCACGTTCCTCTTACCTGTTCAACTCCCAGCAGAACAAAGCTTTTCCTGCATGGCCTAGAGTTGACTCACTAAACAGTGGCATATGCAGAAGACCATCTGGTAATCTTACTGCCGGTGTCTGGCTCTCTCTTCAGAACAGCATGATCCTCTCTGCTGCCATCTTCATCACCCTCATAGGCCTGCTTGGTTATCTCCACTTTGTGAAGATTGATCAGGAGACTCTGTTAATCATTGATTCCCTGGGCATCCAGATGACTTCATCCTATGCATCTGGCAAAGAAAGCACCACCTTCATTGAGATGGGCAAGGTGAAGGATGTCATCATTAATGAGGCTATTTATATGGTAAGTATGTAAATGGTACCACAGGCCTCTTTGGAGGCGTAGCCCATTGAGTGTGCCTGGATTTGAACTGTTTTAGTACCTAAAGTATTAGATGTCAAGAAATTAAAATTTAGGACTCTGCTCCAGTACTTGCAGTGTTTTCTTTTTGGGCTGGCATGTCTAAAAACATAAAAGTAACTTATATTGAAAAAAAAAATATGTCCTTTTATATTATTTATTTTTAGAGAAGAAAGGGGGAGGGAGAGAAAGAGATATTTGTTGTTTTTCCACTTATGTATGCCTTCATTCGTAGATTCTTGTATGCGCCCTGACCAGGGATTGAATCACAACCTTGACATATGGGGATGATGCCCTACCCCAGTGGAGCTACCTGAGCAGGGTGTCCCCTTTTAAAGAGACACAACAGGTTCTCATGGATAGGGAGTCAGCGTTTCAATTTTATTTTCGGCTCAGCTTCAGAATAATCTCTGGTGGTGATTGTTGCATGAGAATGTACTTATCCCTCACTTCAAAAACTATGAAGTGTTCTTCTTAGAGATAACCATTTATGAAAAAGTTTTAGCCGTCCCTTGAAGAAAAAGAAAACAAAATGAGTTTCCCTTAGATCTCTATTTGGTGTGTTTTCTTACAGCAGAAGGTGATTTACTATCTCTGCATTTTACTGAACGATCCGATGGAACCAAATGGGATATCCCAAGTAGTACCGGTCTTCCAGGTGAGCACAGAACACTTGGCTTAACTTTCTTCTCCAAAGAAATCCTCTACCCTCCCTCCACTCCTCTGCGTGTCCACAGCTACTTCTGTACAGTAGCAGTGTAAACTTTTGTTGTCAGGAACATCTGAGGATACCTGACGGCTATTTTTAGTGAGAATTGGGATTTTAGTTCTTTTAAGAGCTCCTTTTTGAGGCAAATATAGGCTTTCAGAAATATTACAAATTTACATATATTTTAGGGAAAAATAGATAGCAACTTCTGCCTGCAAATCACTATTCATCTCCTTGGGCTCTGTCAGTCTACCAATATGATTTTATGTAGATGTTATTGATCTACACATACTGTTATACACTGTTTTGCACCTTGCTTTTTAAATTTGACATGCATATTTTCATGCATCTACAAAAGGCCACTGTACTTATTAAATAATTATACTATCATGTTAAGTATCAGTTTATTTAGCCACTCTATTGCTAACTTTTGAAATCACATCCAGGGTATTTTTTGCTCTTCTCTTATAAAAAACCACTTATATAAACATAATTGTAATAAATCCCTTTATAAGTGTATAATTCACATATACAGTTAACTGCCTCACTGCCCTGTTTCTCAAAGGATTTAAGGCAGCTGACCTAAAATTCTTTTGCATTATAGTTCAAAATTAATTTATTAAAATTTATGATAGCTTCATGGATTTTTTAAAAATATATATTTTATTGATTTTTTACAGAGAGGAAGGAAGAGGGACAGAGAGTTAGAAACATTGATGAGAAACATCGATCAGCTGCCTCCACTCTCTCTACTGGGTATGTGCTCACAACCAAGGTACATGCCCTTGATCAAACCTGGGACCCTAGAGTCCACAGGCCAATGTTCTATCCACTGAGCCAAACCGGTTAGGGCCCTTCATAGATTTTTACAGTATTTGAGATTTGGCTCCAGAGATTGGACAACTTTATATACTTTGGGGCAGAGCCGCGGTTTGCCGCTCTGTTGACTGAGTCTGCCGATCACTGCTTTGGGGGGATTTGTGCTTTTCTAGTCTTGGCTAACAATGGGTATAGCTTTTTTAGTTTAGTATGTCAGTAAAGGAATTAAAATGTTTAAATTTGTACCTCCTTAAAGACAGGGACTTTTCGTATTTCTTTGTATCTACCTATTACTATTTCTTGTTTTAAACTATCCGTACCTCCTCTCTTAGTCAAGTAGAATCTAGATACTGACTATGTATTTGTAACAATTTACATATTTGGTTAGCAAACATTTATTTATTAAATATGCCATCCTCATCTTTTTCCCATTCTGTGACTTTCTTTTAACTCAGTTGTATTACATCTCATTATACACAGTATTTGTCAATATACAGTAAATTACGCTGCCCTTCTTTTCTCTGAGGACTGTTCCACAGCTGGTGACACTTCCCAGGAGGGTCTCCTTGTTAATCCTCATTCTTGCTCGTAGATGGAGATCATGAAATTTATAGTTTACAAACTGTTGTTTGAGAACCAGCTTTTGAGAATTCACAGGCGGGGCTGCGGGCTTCATAAGAGACTCTTCAGCAAGGTGCTGAGGCCTGAACTCTGCCCTTCTGAGCTCCCGCCAGTGCCTGCAGACCCCTTGGTGTGGGTGAGAGATTGAAGTTGCACATGGATGCAGCACTCCTCAGCTCCCCCTTGTTCACCTTGACTGTGCCTTTCTTCCCTTTGGCCTTCAGAGTGCCAAGCCCCGGCTGGACTGCTTGATTGAAGTGTACAGGAGCTGCCAGGAGATCCTGGCACACGGGAAAGCCACACCCACAAGCCCATGAGCTCCAGCATCCAGAAGGCCAGTACTGTCTCCGTGGGAAGTGACCCCTAAGCCCTTGGGCTGGTATATTCTACTATATTCAAACATCATGTGGACACGGTCCTAGGAACCAGGATGATGTGGTGGATCTGAGCCAGAGCAGGTGACTGGAACTCAGCTCATGGTGTGATGTTGAGCAAAGTGTTCCTGGTATTTCAGTGCTCCCCTCCTAAGGTATGTGTATATTACCAACTGAGAGGAGACCTTAAGAAACGGTATGTCAAAGGTCATGTTGACAGAGCACTTGCGAATTTTCTAAACACATTCAAGTTTACTTTTTGTTGAAATTTGGGGAGCAAGACATTGGGAAACTGATGTCAGATCTCTTGAGAAAGATAATTTCCAGATATATAAAATATAGTCCAGCCCTTCAGGCACTGGGTTAGTGGGAAGAAATGTCTTACAAAAGACTAGACTTTGTCCCCCTATCTCCTTTGTCTGTGTAGGGTTAAATATGACTCTTAATAAACAGGTCTCCTTCATAAACATGCACAGTAATTGCCTAGTTCACAGACATCTGCTTTTGACTGACAAACATGAATGTGGCATTTCAGTCAGGGTGTGAAGCACATTAATACTCTTCTGTTGCTCAAAAACTTCTTTTGCTAGGAGAAATGAGACAAAAGTCTAGACAGAAATTCGACTTTGGTTTCCAGGAACATGTTAAAGAAGGATAAACATGCAAAGTATAGAAGCCTTTGTTGGTGGGACAGTTTCTTCTGTATAAAATTCATAAACTAAAGGAGGATTCCTGAAGGATTGGGAAGACAGGGTGGGGAAATAACTTAGCTCCTAAGTTCAGTATGAACACAACTCCATTCTCCCTTACTTTTTTGGAGGGATCCTAATTTTTTTGTTTGTTTGTTTGTTGTCACTTAAGGGTATTTTTTCCATTGATTTTTAGAGCGAGTGGAAGGGAGGAGGGGGGAGAAAGAGAATGAGAGAAAAACGTCGATGTAAAAGAGACACACTAATTGGTTGCCTCTTGTACATGCCCCGACTGGGGCCAAGGATCAAACCTGTAACCCAGCTATATGCCCTTGACCTGGAATTGAACCCTTTGGTGTATGGGCTGCCACTCTAACCATTTAGCAACACAAGCCAGGGCAGATCCTAATTTTTTAAAAACTCCCAGGTAGATAATACTATCCTCATGGGCCTTCGAGACACTCAAGTATCACAAAACCAGAGTTGTCATTTCTGCCTTTCACACCAGCCCTGGAGGGGTTCTCCAGAAGCCTGTGTTATGTGTGATGTGTTGATGTGTTCCAGGTAGGAATGTCCCAACTAAACCCAAATGCTGGGCAAAAGGCAGGAACAGAAATATTTGACCAAACACAACAGGCAAATTTTTAAGTTGATAACTGTATGAGCCGAGATGATGTAATAAATATCCAAGTGGCCGTTGGCAGAGAAAAGGTTCCCCACCCCTGGTGTAAAGGATGAAAGGGGAAGCGTGTAGCAGCTGAAGTGCTCACATAAACTAGTTCCAGCCGAGTGGTTCTGCAGTATGCAACACACATTCTCACATGTACACACACACACACTCTCACACATACACACTTTGCCAGGGTAAAATGCTTCATTCTTGGGTGCTCCTGTTAAGACCATACAGTTTTCAGCACTTTATTGACAAATGGTAAGACTGTCTTAGAGCTATGAAATAAAACTCCGTTTCTGATGTTGGGAAATCAGAGTACCAATGAACTCCTTCGTCTTTCTTTGTTAGGGGAGGGTGGCAACAATGATCATCTCCTCTGCACTCAACAGAAGGTCTCAGTGGGTAGGCGGATACTGGCATCATTAGGAGGGCAAAGGTGAAAGCTACATTCAGTTTCTGGGACAGACATCACATGTCCTCTGTCCTCAAACTCATTCCCAGCAGAGGTTCGCCAGACGTCTTGAGGGGCAGGTCCAGGCCTACAAGCCCGAAGGGGTCTCCTGTTTGTGACTCATTTTGGTGGCTCCCACAGTAGCAAAAAGCAGGGAAACAGTGATGGCCACCTTGTCCTACAGCAGTGAGCACAGCCTTCACAGAGCCCCGTCCAGTGGTTAAAGGAGACACGGGGAGGCCAAGTTAGATCTGCCCTGCCTTAGCTTGTGCCCCCGTGGGCTTAGTCCAGTGTGAGGGACAGCAGCTTCGACCTCAGCAGGGAGAGCTCCTGTCCCTCATCAGAGACAGGAGCTGCTGCCGGAGGGAAGGGGCACTGCAGAGCGCCTGTTCTGGCAGCAGAGGGACAGACCTCCGCTCCTTTTCCTCCAGCCCCGCCGACCCCCCTCCCATCTGTGGAAGGAAGTCTCTTTCTAGTGAGTTCTAGACTTTTGTCAGAGTTGGGGTGAATGGGAAATTTTGGTCCTCAGAATCTGAGGATGTTGGGCAAACTTCAAGTATAAATCCCCACATGAGAACCGTACACAGTATAAAGCAGATTCGCCTCCCTGAGGGCGGGGAAAGCTCTGACTTATGGCACTGACACAAGTCAGAGCTCCCTGTCTGTGTAGAAGCAGGCAGAATCCAGAGCTCAGTACTCTTGTGGGGGAAAAACTGGTTTTTCTACTGGGCCTGGCTTCTTAAAATTGGGCCCTGAGACATAAGGCACCTAGAGCATAGAGGCTCCATGGACCCTGAAATACACACTTCACAGAACCAGCCAGGCAGGCTGGGGAGGGTGTTGGACCCATCACAGTAGTGTCATGCCCCAGGGTTTGTATCTCCCACCCCAGAGGCGCCAGTGGGGGCGGGGGCGGGGGCGGGGCAGAGGGAACGTTCACGGCAGCGGCGGCCCCTTGGCAGCTCGAGGGAGAGACGCGAAGAGCTGCTGCCCAGCCAGCTCCCAGGGCTGGGCAGCAGGGGGCTTGGCGGGAGTGGTCACAGTGATGGAGCAGTGGCTCATGTAGCTGGCCATGAGGAGAGTAGCCTCTGCAATCTAGGAAGAAGCGGAAACAAAGGGCATGAACTGGCCTTGGCTCAAACACGGGCTTTGTCTCTCCCTGGCTATTACTCAGGACGCACAGCCTTCCTGGGCTTCAGTTCCTTCCTCTCTTAAAATTCCCACCTGGGAGAAATCGTCCAAAGGCGGTGTTACTGTGGTTCAGAGGCCCAAAGAAATGGGCGCCCATTGGCCTGGAGGTTCTGTGAGGTGCACAGTCTTTCTCTCTGCCTCCCACCCCCAGCAGGTGGCACTTCCTTTCTGGCTAGCTCCCCGCTGGGGCAGAGGCCTCCCTGGAGCAAAGGGCTGCCTGTCTTCTCCTTTGGCAGAGGTGTGTTCAAAGGGGGAGGAGATCTGGCAACCCCCAACTTTAGGATCAAAGCAACAGGGTTTCCAGTGAACTCTCAGAGGGAGTCAGGAACCTATAAATGAGTCTTTGTAAGTCTTACTTTTGCTAGTCAACATTTCCTGTGGGAATAAAGCCCTTAAGGCAAAGGAGGTCTCTGGGCAGAATTCAAGACCCGGAAGACGGGAGCATGTGCAGCCTGCCCCACTTTGCGACTAGTGTTGGGACAGCAGAGCCCACAACGGATGGACGGATGGGGTGAGAACATCTTGAGGGGGTAGCTGCCTTGGACCTGCTGCAAGGAGAACAGTGGGTGAGCACCCAACTCCAGCCTGCACGGGGCGGAGGTCTGAGGGCAGGAAGGACCGATGTGAAGGGCACAGGAGCAGCTGGCCAGCGTGAGTGCCCTCCCTAGCGAGCCCTGCCTGCCTGCCCAGCGGTGACTTCCGAGGAACTGCACCTGAACCCTTTGGAGCCGGGATTACAGACAAGGCCGAGTTTCCTTTGGGGCAGGGCTCTTCTAGGATACGGTCACAACCCCAGCTTCCTTTCTCAGCTCCAAGTCCGCCCCTTCCTACAGGACAGCTCAGAGCCAGATGTTCCAGGAGCTCTCAGACCCACCTTAGGAGCGGCCATCCGGAAGGTCAACTTGTCAGCCTGGCCTTTTCCAGAGCTCTGGTCTGGAACGGATCTAATCACAAGCATGAAGTCATCCCGGCAGCCACCGAAGGTCGTCACTGAGGAGTAGGGGTAGGTGACACGCACTTGCTGTGGGAAAGAGCGAGTTAGTCCTGGGGAAACTTTCCACCTGCCTCCCGAGCTAGGAACCAGCCCTCTTCCTCCCTTACCATGGTGTTGTGGTCCAGGATGCTGACTCCGTCCTCATTCACAGCAATCCACACCAGAGGGTTCTCCTTGGAAGACAGCGGCACAGGCTGGGGAAACAGGAAAACCCCGTCAGACACACCCACAGCGATGGATGCTGAACCACGAGAGCTTTGTGAGGAAGAAGGCACACTGGGATCTGCTAGGCAGCAGTGATTTCCAACCTTGTCCTTATCTTGGAAAACTTAAAAGATGGCCTCGTACAGCATGCTGGAGCGAACAGGAGGCATCTGGCCTGCGGGCCCTGGCTACCTACTAACCATCCCGAGTGGGAGGAGATCGCAGCCTAGCCCGCCACAGCCCACCGACTGGGAAGCTCAGTGCGCAGAAGAGAGCACCCCGGGCGGCTCTGTCTGAGAGCTTTCTCCCAGCTCTCAGACACTGACGGCACCCCACCCACAGCCTTTCCCAGCCGCAGTGCATCTTTCTTCAGTCAATTTCACAGGGACTGTAAAAGAAACAGGAAAGCAAGAATGCAATCTTAGCCGAGACCGGTTTGGCTCAATGGATAGAGCGTCGGCTTGGGGACTGAAGGGTCCCAGGTTCGATTCCGGTCAAGGGCATGTACCTTGTTGCGGGCACATCCCCAGTAGAGGGTGTGCAAGAGGCAGCTGATTGATGACTCTAACTATCTCTCTCCCTTCCTCTCTGTACAAAATCAAAAAAATAAAAAAATAAAAAAAGAATGCAATCTTAGGGGCGATAGGCCCTACCAGTAAGAAAAGCGGCTATTTAGTGGACAATTCCTGGTATTTTCGCTGCCAGCAGTGCAGTAGGGTAGTCCTTTAAAGGCGGGGGAGGTAAGCATGCCACCTTTTTCAGAAGCTTTCCTCAACTTCCCAGACTGAGTGGTACCCTGTGTTACATGCCCTTATAACTAGTTGATCCTATCTCCTCCTCCCACCCCCCCTCCCCCGGGGTAGCACTGAGAAAGAAGTCAATAAAGGAAAGATGAGGGACACCCAGAAAGAATCCTGGCCCCCAAAGCAATGAATCAGGACCATGTGCTCAGGACCATGGAAATGGCAGGTCAGAAATGGGTGGAGAGATAGCGACCCCTGGTGGTTGCTCGTTTGCAGGCAGGTACTGCAGACTAGACTCAAACATGACCAGATAGGAACAGTTGCTTCAGAACCGTGGTTGACAAACTTTGGCTCACGAGCCACACGCAGCTCTTTGGCCCCTTGAGTGTGGCTCTTCCACAAAATACCACAGCCTGGGTGAGTCTATTTTGAAGAAGTGGCGTTAGAAGAAGTTTAAGTTAAAAAAATGTGGCTCTCCAAAGAAATTTCAATCGTTGTACTGTTGCTATTTGGCTCT